TAAACTAACACAAGTCTCATAAATGTCCAGTTTAAGGGTATTACACAGAAACACACCACAATAACATGAATCAAATATGTACTTTATTCATTTACATTAAATGTCATATGGTACATCATTCTCATTGGAGCTAAGGGCATACACTGTCTAACACCTTAGGGCCTGTTAGTTTTTTGGATTTTAAGAGGGGGGAAGACCGTCGATGAGATTTTGGTTCTTATTGATCGAGATACTCATGTTCTTGTTTTATATTTATGTAAGGTTCATGGAAAATTCATTTTTCTCATCTCCTAGGTGGATAAGTAATTTTCCCATCTAGAAAAAAGTGTCAACCCTTGGATGAGATAAAATTACTCATTTTAATTATAATTTTTTATGGATAAAATGATCATATCTTATTTATCAAAAACACTTATTTGGATAAGTGAATTTACCCAAATAAATAACTTTAAAAAAAAAAACAAATAGACCCGTGATGGCAACTTTTGTTGTGACCTACTGTCTCAATTCTCAAATGGTTTGTAGTGATTTCACTCAAATATGACAAAACCTTGGTGTTAACCCAGAATTGGTACTGAGCCGAACTGATTGAAGGAATTGAACCAGGCTTTATGAGGTCAAATCCGGTTACACAAGATCTCAGGCAATAGTGTATTGCCTGAACCAGCTAGCTACACCAGAGCGTTATAGGTAAAATTCATTCAAACTACACCAAGGATTTAGACAATAAGCATGAACTTTGCCAATCAAAAACTTTAAGGGTCTGTTTGGTTTGCAGTTGGAATCAGAATCGAAATGATCTATTCTCATAATATATTTGGTTTAAGAATGGAAATGAAAATTAAAATCAACAAGAATAAGATTTCATTTTTAAGGAAAGGGCAAGAAATAACTATTCCCTTCAAATGGGAGAATGTCATTATAGCAGGAATAGAAATAGGATTCGGATTCCACCTAACCAAACAGTTAGAATTGAAATAACCCTTTCCAATTCCAATTCCAGACCCCTATTCCCGTGAACGAAACGGGGCCTAAATTATGGAATGAAGAGAACACTTCTACATGAGAGAAAATATTACGTGCATGCGTCTGTCTCCCAGAAAAGAACTAACCTCAAACATAATCAACCAATATTACGTGGTAAGCTGGTGGGCTCCCATCTAAGCAAACTGCATAGCATTTGGAATTTCAAAAAGCAAAATAGTCATTAAAACTATCTGGTAATGCCATCTTTTCTCCTGGAACCGGTCCAACTTTTATAATTTATAGTCTTTATCTTAAAAAACAAGTAACAAATTAAAAAAAAAAAAAAAAAAAAAAGATCTTACCAGCTCCCTTTGCCACAGCATCTTGGAGATAAGTAATCTCTACAAAGTATCCATTTACTCCGACTGTGACCAGCGTCCAGATTAGAAGATATAGTGATAGACCTGAGCTTTTGTACAAACCATTCTGTTTTATATGGCATTCACTGCCAAGACGGGCCAAAATACTACAAATTTCAGCTGTAAAAACTATTTTATAGAAAAATCCAACTTATGAAAACAATTAAAAATTACCAGATATTCCAAGAAAACCATTTCTAATATGGAGGTTAAAGAGGATCATTTCCTCTAAAGAATCACTGAAACTCAGATGACCCATATTATAAAGAAATTCAATTCCATTTTTTCTCAGTTAAGAACTTATCTAACAAGCTTAAGCAATTTATCTCAACAAAAACATCAAAAATGAAAACTGAATAAATAAAAAAAAAAGTCATCATTTCTACCCGAAATCAGAGAATGGGGATGCTCCAGAAGCAACAATGAGAGAGAGAGATAGGTGAAAAAGAAACTGTTAAAATTTAAACTCTGTTTAGTGTATTATTGTAGCTCTGATCAGAGAAACTTCCTTCTGAGCCTTTCATAATTGGAAGAAATCCGCTTTTTGCGTGGTTAACAAAGCAATGCCTAGCTATATTATATTTTTTAAAATTTTGAAGGACTATGTGGTCATTGGCCTCCATGAGATCCCTGTACTTACGCTTCACACAGTAACTAATCAAAATTCACGGGGTGGGTCGTCTGATTGGTCAAACTCCCAAACTTGAGAGTAGAACGCCGGAAGAAGTTTGACTTTGACCAACCAAAATCAAGGCCCCTGTAACCCCTGTGTGTTTTGATGTATTTTGTGTACACCTTAGTATAAGGCGCAAATTTAGGGGATTTGGACCGGCTCATGAACCAGTAAGCCACGGTGAGTAAGTCCTAACGGCCATGGATTTGGCCTAGGGGTGATCAAGGCCTAAGTCGGGCTTAGCACCTCTGATAGCCCAAACCTAGGTCCAGCCTGAGTTTTTGAAATTATTTAATGCATACCTGATGTCATGTGACGTGTTGACTAACAGTTAATTAATGGTAATTTAGAGTACAATTAATCAATTAATGGTAGAGACTTTATAGACACAATTTGACAGTATAATGACACAACCCCCAAAGTTCAGGATATTGTTTATAAATTTTCCCCAACTTTTATGTATAAAATTTAAATATGTAGTATTTTATATTATTTTTTATATGCCATATAATATTGATGCTGACCAAACTGAGGTAGATGAGCAACAAATAAGGGCCTGTTAACTTAGACGAGGTGGTGCACCGAACAAGACCTGTAACCAAATACATTCAAAGGTCCCGAGGAAGAAGTCACTAGGCAAGGCACTCCAAAGCTCAAGTCAATAAGAGGTGAAGAGGTTAATTGGGCCAGGCTGGTCTGAGCCAAGCAAAGTTGAAGAGAATAGCAGAGCAGAAATTAAAGAAGCTAGAGATACGAAGGATTGAAGAGAGAAAGATATGAGAATGCCTTTAAATAGTTAAGTGTCGTGGTGCACTCGGTCACGTTCCTTGCAAGGACGCCCAATGCTAAAATGAGGAGATCGACTGCCAAGGTCTTCTAACGATCTCATGATCTTCGGCGTGGATGCTTATCAGTGGCATGGAGCCATTGCAGTGCTTGACAGGTTGTCCTATTAATGTGATTGAAGACATCAGTCGAACCCAACACACAACAACAGCCACATGGCAGCTTGACCAGCTAGGGTACAGACCATGCCTCTCCTTTTTCCAAGTCCCCTTTCTTGCTTATTCCTTAATTCTCTCTCTTTTTTTCCCTTTTCAGCCCTCCCATTAACTCAAATCACCAAGGATTTAACCTATCTTATTAGGCCATGTCATCTTTCCTCTCAACAATTCAAATCAAATATTAAAAATCTTCTTAAAATCTCTCTCTCTCTCTCTCACCTAAATCATCTCCTCTCCAAAAATTTCCCTAAACTATCTATTCACCTAAAACTTCCTCCTAAAATATCTCCCAATCAATTTCGCATGTCTGATAAACCATCTAATTCTAAAATCACTCCCAAATATCTTATCTCTCTTTCCATATCTATTTCTAGCTCTCTCCACTTTCCAAATACATATATTTTATTTTTTTTATCAATGTATTAAAATATTAATGTGTAAGTTAAAACATTTTTAAAACAATTTTTAAGTTTAAAATTAAATATTAAAAGTAAAGCAATAAAATTTAATAATTAATTAAAATCATATTATAATTATAAATAACATTTTAATATTTCCATTATGAAATCTATCTCTCTTTCCATGAGATGTTTTGGGCCCTACATATCACTATTTATATTAATGTTGAAATCTAGCGAACACTATAGCAATAAGACTCAAGAAAATATAAACTTTTAGTTACCAATTTGAAAAGATTTTGTATGGCAATGGGGCAGGTTCAGGGTAGGGCACCCTCTCCTTGTCCCTGTAGACAAAAATCCCTTACCCCATCTTCGATGGCAAGGCAAGTTTGGGGCAGGGCACCAATGGGGGAATCCCCAATCCACCCCAAGGCAACAACCTAAAATTACATCAAATTTAGGGCTATTTTAGTAATGAGATCATGGGAATTTCAAGGTATTTTAAAAATGAAACTAAGTGAATTTAGAAGCATTTTAGAAATGAAATTATGGGATCCTAACTTCCTAAGTTTTAGGAGTTTGTGGGATACTTAGGGACATTTTAAGAATTAACAATAAATTTATGGGTAATTTAATAATTTACCACGAGGTTCAGAGTGGGTTCAGTGAGTTATATATCAACCCATCCTTGGTTTAAAGCAAAAAGGTTTTTCCCACCCTAGTTTAAGATCGAGGAAACTTACAGATAGCAACTTTTCCCATAAAATTTTGGCAATGCATTGCCTGCCCCCACCCCAAATGGGGCAAGTTTTACCCAATCTTAAACAAGGGACGGGGAAAATATCTTTACCTCAAATCAAGAACGAGGCGAGGACGAAGCTTGCATATAATTCCGAAATTTGATTTTCAATTATTAAAATATCCCTAAGTTTTAATGTTAATTTCTAAGTTACCCTTGAATTCCCTAAATTTCTAAAATTCTAGGATTCAATAATCTCATTTCTAAAGTACCCCAAAATTCTTATAATCTCATTTCTAAAATACTCCCAAACTTTGATATATTTTAAGTGATTGCCTTGGGAAAAGGAAAATTTGGGGATTCCCTATTCCCAATGGGAAGGGGGTGCCTTGCCCCAAATTTGCCCCACCACTGGGGACAGGGTGGGCTAGTGGCAGGGATGGGGTAGCAGATTTTGGATACAAGGTAAGGGTAAGGATGGGGGGCCCACCTTGTTACCACTCCTAAGGAAAACCCACCCCATTTGAGGTGGGATGAGAATTGGCTCAAAGGGAAAAATTGCCATCCATATGGTTGGGTTTTGTCTCCTACAACTACTATATAAGTTTTTAGAAAATATGTCTTAAAAATTAATATTAAAAACACTATCAATTTCATTATTAATAAACATGTTTTTTTGAAATGTTAATTTCACCATTAACTAAATTTTGAATAAAAATGTTTCTATTATATTCTCAAATAAAACTGTTAAAAATTCACTAAAATTTGTTTTCTATAAATTATGTGAAAATTCAAAATTTAACTATTAATTTTCTAAAAAAAACTTTATGTGAACATGAATTATCTCTTTTGTCTTATAGCTTTGTTATAGCAAACTTAATTTTTAGAAGTATTCAATGATAGATTAAATGGATTAGGTTGTTTCTTCAACTTTGCTTGTGATTTCCCAAGAGAAAAAGAAAGTTGAAGAATAAATGAACCAAGGGCCCAAAAATCACTATGCATCAAGAAGACAAAATTCATGGATCAGGTTATTTGAATAACAAAAAACCATCCGACCTGCTAGCTTCATTTACCAATTCATACCAAGACCGATTTGGTTTGATCAATTCAACTAGTTATGAAATTTTGAAAATAGAAAGAGTAAATAAGAGAAATTTTCACTGAAAATAAATTTATTAATTAGAAAATATAAAAAAAAATCAGAAAAAAGTAAGGGGAGATAGCATAAAAAATCTTTAACAATTTTGTTAATTAATAGGAAACACTTATAAAATAAGGGAAGATTTATAAAAAAAAATAGAAAATAACAAAAAATAAGAAACTTAATTTTTAATTAACTAATAAAATAAAAAAAATCACTAAAAATAACAGAATTTTTTATTATATTAAAAGTAAACTTTATTGAGAAAATATTAAAAATGAAAAAGTGACAGAAAAAATAAATAAGGGAAAAATAAAAATCAACAACTTACTTTACATGATTAACTTATTAATTAAAGTAAATTAAATAACATAGTTTTATTAACTTACTCTAAAATTAGTAAAATTAATTTTATAAAAACTTAAAATTTAAATAATTAACAAAAAAATAACATAATTAAAAACAATAAAAATTGTTAAGATACTTAGTGAAAAGTATTTTATTAGTAAAAATTGATACAAATTAATAAAAATGTAATTTAATTAAAATCAATATATATATATATATATATATTAATTTAGCTTAATAAAAAAGCAACTCTCCCTCTCACTAATCCCTTATAGATTTTTGGCTTTTTAATTTATTAGACAATACATCACCCACCCAAAAATAATGCTAAGATGTATAAGATTAAGCTTGGTTCAATTAGAAATGTCCCAAGACTCTTGTCTAAATGTCATTTAACAAAGCCTATGTATTGATTTAAGAGTAATAAATATAATAAAAATAATAATATTTAAAATAAATGATAAAAATTAACAAACCACTTGACTTGACCCGGTTAATAATATTGTCACAAGGCTCCTGCCACATTTTCTTTTAACACTCATGCATGGCACAAGGCTTAACTAGTTATATAATATGTATTATAGGTGTCGTATTGTAAAATTTATACTACGGAATATAAAATATAACATGAAGTGGCATATATATATATATATAAGTGTTTGAGCTAAAACGGACCTAGGCCTGAGTACAAAACCTAGGCCCAAGACTGGGATTTCTAGACCAAGCTGACTCGGGCTGAAAATGATAATTCCTATGATTTGGCCATGCACAACTGGTTAAATCATTTCTAGAGCCACGACTTCAGTCAAAGTGTGATGGGTTCGAACATTATGAGAGGATGACACCCGTCCATAAGTATGTGTGCATTCTTCATTCGTGTGGGGATGATAAACGGGCATTTAACATGAACACCATTAGCCATCCCTCATTTAAAGTATTTTTGTGAAAAACCTTTCGCTTCTTTTCCGTGTCTCTCCATTCTCCACCCAAACCTTTTATTCTGCTATCCTCTCCAACCGGCGAAGGCAAACTTCTTCCGGCGACCGGTGACAGAGGTTTAGTGTTTCTCTCCCTGCGGTGATTCACTGCAACTGAAACCCCAAAAGGCAAAGACATCACCGGCAAAGGCAAGCTTCTTCCGGAAACCGGCGACAGAGGTTTAGTGTTTTTCTCCCTACAATGGTTCATCTGCAACTGAAACCCCAAAAGACAAAAGGCATCAACGGCTTCATCTGCAACTTTGTGCTTCTACGGTTTCATCTGCAACGGCTTTCATCTGCGGTGGTTTTAAGGCATCAACGATTTGTGAAATACATAGACTCCAAAAACTACCAAGTTCCACAAGGCAAAGCTGCAGTTGAGCTTGTTTCGGGAGCTTCAGCTGGGATACAAACAGCAACAGAGCTCAATAAGGGTACGACCTATAACTTGGAATTTGTACTTAGAGATGCAAATGACTCTTGTGTGGGAGATTTCGTTGTGAGGGCGCAAGCAGGATCTACGTCAATGAACTTCACGATGGAGACCAACAGAACCGGCTTGGCCCAAAGCTTCCTCATGACTTTCAACGCAGATTCAGCTCTAACAAACATCAGCTTCGTTAGCCTAACCACGAGTCAGACGGGATTTTGTGTTTTGTGGTCCTGTGATCGACAACGTGGTACTCCGTGCTTCATTTGGGTTCAAACCACAAATGCAGAGTTGGGTGCTGTTTTTATGCCTGGTTTTCCTCATAGATGCTGTATACATTATTGAGAAGTAGAGCCAAATCTGAATCTGTTTTACCACTTATTATTATATATTACTGTTATTTTTTTTACATGTTCCTTGTAAGTTGTAACTGAATAATTTGATTTTGAGAACTTGGGTAAAGCATAGCTGGCCTGAATCCTTCACCTGTAGAGACTGATTGGATCTCATAGCTCCAAAAACTTTTTATAAATTGCACTCCTTCAAAGGTTCTGATGGATTGATTGAAAGAGAGTGATTGGTTTAGCAGTTGGCTGATGGACATTATTCAATAGTTCTGGGTTTTGGACAAAACAAGTGTCTGGATAATGCATTAATATGGATCAACGAGATCTCCACTGAAGGAGTGCAATGGCAGGGTATTAGATATAAATGAGAAGTTCTATACATTGAGACCCTGTTTGGGTACCAGTAAGGAAAATAATAATGTTCTTCAGTTTCAAACAAATCTAAAATCTGAACTAATTTCATCGCACGGTTCTGTTACCAATCATCAGAGGATCCATCTTTGATGTTGAATCTATGGTATAGGAATAAAAATCATTTCGTTTCATGTAACGCCTTAAATCTAAACAACGTTTGCTTTGAATTACTGAAAATAAGGAGACACTCTAAACAACGTGTGCTGAAAGCCTGAAACAGGGTGATTATCTTCTGTATAAGAATTTTAGGGACCATGAAATTTAGTAGAGAAAAAATGAGGGGAAAAAAGAACGATGATTCAATTATCTGCTCCCTCATTAAGTCATGATTAGTTAGATAATTTAGACAAGTTCTAGAATTTCAATCCATCTAGTGCAAATTTTCCATTTTCTTGTCATATGAACCCATATCCTCTCAGCACTTACTCACCCCTTCCATCAACTTGCTTTTGCTTCGCTTTATCATGTAGCTCATTGATATCTGCACACACGACCAGATCAGACCATCTCAGAGACAGATTTTCAGTATGTTGCTACCTGGACATCCACCTCTTAGAATTTATGTGAAACTTTCAGACGAAGGACAAAGATAATGAACCCTTTTCTGATTCTGTATTACACCCAACGATTACAAGATACATATATATGAAGTTCCCTTGCGAGGAAGTCGGCTAACCATTAGGAAGAATTACAATTACAATTAGGAACCTAATCACTTACTCCTAAAAGAATATGGAAAACCAAGATGACAACTAAAACACATACAAGATACAGCTCATATACGATAAGGCTCATATGATAAGGCTCATATGATAAGGCTGGCTCATACGATATACCCCCCCTCGAGTTGGTGCATGTAAACGGGAAATGCCCAACTTTGTAAATATATCAGCCAGTTGCTCGGAAGTCCGAACATAGGAGGGCCATATATTCCCATTCTGGATTTCACCGCGGACAAAGTGACAATCTACTTCAATGTGTTTAGTTCGCTCATGGAAGACCGGATTCGCAACAATATGCAAAGTTGCTTGACTATCACAGTATAATCGCATAGGATCAGTATGATCAACTCTAATGAATGCAACAGTCCTTTTAACCATTTCAATTCACATGCAGTTGCTGCCATAGACCTGTATTCCACCTCAGTCGATGATCTAGACATTGTATGCTGCTTCTTCGTCTTCCACGAGATTGGTGTTTGTCCCAATAAAACAAAGTATCCGGTGAGAGAACGTCGCGTCAATGGACAACCGGCCCAGTCGGAATCACAGTAAGCATACAATCGAAGATCACTGTCAGCTGGAAGGAAAATTCCCTGTCCTGGGTTACCTTTCAAATATCGCACTACACGTAAAGCCGCCTCCCAATGTTCTTCACGGAGGGTCTACATAAATTGAGAGAGCACATGCACACAATAGGACAACTCAAGACGGGTAATGGTCAAGTAAATCAAATGACCCACTAGCCTCCTGTAATTCTCCGGCTTTATCATCAAAGGACCATCTGCCATAGCCAATTTATGATTTTGTTCTAGGGGAAGACCAGCTGGCTTAGCTCCTAACAATCCAGTTTCTGATATGATATCCAAAGAATACATCCGCTGACAAATAGAAATACCTTCCTGGTTTCTTGCGACCTCTACTCCTAAAAAATATTTTAAAACTCTCAATCCCTTCATGTGGAAGCATTGAATCAGATACTTCTTGAATTTCTGAATGGCATCCCCATTATTTCCAGAGATGACAAGATCATCCACGTAAACCAGAATATTTAACTGTACCTGCCCACGTCGAAGCGTAAACAAAGAGTAATCAGATTGCGACTGGGTAAAACCATACTGTTTCAAGACTGTTGTTAGTTTAGCAAACCAGTAACGAGGGGCCTGCTTCAATCCATAAAGCGACTTATGCAGCTTGCACACCTTTCCAGGCAATCTTGAAGCAAATCCAGGAGGCATCTCCATATAGACTTCTTCTTGTAGATCTCCATGAAGAAATGCGTTCTGCACATCCATCTGATGCAATTCCCAATTTTTAGCCGCAACAACTGCAAGGAATGCACGTACTGTAACCATCTTTGCCACAGGTGAAAATGTTTCATTGTAGTCTATCCCTTCAACATGTTTGTTTCCGAATATCACCAAACGCGCCTTGTACCGTTCTATTGTGCCATCTGAGTTGTATTTTATCTTGTAGACCCATTTACTTCCGAGAGCCTTTTTCCCTGGTGGCAAGTTCTCCACTGTCCAAGTTCTATTATTTTCTAAAGCTTCAATTTCCTTTCTCATTGCCTCTCTCTAATGAGATTCCTTGACAGCCTCTGAATAACCCTGTGGCTCATGACTAGCTGTGACAACTGCTAAGAAAGAGCGATGTCGCAAAGAAAATTTATCACAATTCACATAACGTGTTATAGGATAGGGAGTACCTGAGGAGTGAGATTGGCAAGATGAACTAGCAGAAGAGCTCAGACTTCGGTTCGAGCACCATGTTGTGTGTATGACATAATCCTTGAGACAAGTGGAAGGATGCTTCACTCTATGACCTCATCCAAGTTGCTCACTCCCTGCATTCGTTTCTACCATGGAACCCCCCCTTACATCATGCTCCACTTCATCATTTTCACAACTGTCCCCATTGCTATCCATGACCTCACTAGTACTATCACTTCTTCCTCTTTTACTTTCACAATCTTCCTCGTCATACACTTCAGTCTCCACCTGGGTATAATCAAGATGACTATCATTGTGTTCGACTTTTTCTCCATCAACAGCATATGGAAATTCAATTTCTGAAAACACCACATCCCTAGAAACAAAGTATTCATTTTTCTCCAAGTCATAAACTCTCCACCCCTTCTTGCCAAAGGGGTATCCCACAAAGACACAACGTCTGACTCTACTAGAAAACTTATCCCTGGTACGATTTAGGCTCCGTGCATAACACAAACACCCAAACGTTCATATATGCTTGTAGCTAGGTTTCTGCCCATATAATATCTCATACGGTGATTTTCCCAAAAGAAGAGTGGAAGGGGTCCTGTTGATCAGATAACCGGCCGCCATAACACACTCTCCCCAAAACTCAATAGGGAGATTAGCNGGTGATTTTCCCAAAAGAAGAGTGGAAGGGGTCCTGTTGATCAGATAACCGGCCGCCATAACACACTCTCCCCAAAACTCAATAGGGAGATTAGCTTGAAATCTAAGAGCTCTGGCAACATTCAGTATATGCCTATGTTTTCTCTCGACACGTCCATTCTGTTGCGGTGTTTCAACACATGAGGTCTGATGTATTATACCTTGCTCAAAAAAATATTCTTTCAAGCATATTTACTCAGTACCATTGTCACTTCTAACTATCGTTACCAATTTATCATATTGGCGTTTAACAATAATGAAGAAATTTCGCAAAGTTTTGCCCACTTCACTTTTGTCATTAAGTAAGAAAATCCAAACGGCTCTTGAGAAGTCATCAACAATAGTCAAAAAA